GGGGGGGGCTGCAGCCTATCCCTGATGTCTTTGCGCGGTGGGCAGCGTACACCCTCAAATGGTTGCTGCAATCCTAAACATTGACATGATTCTTTTTTTGACAAGCAAAAATCAGGGCATTGAAGTTCATCAAATAGGCGACTGAAACGTCGTGCTCACTTGTGTATCCTATGTCGACATTTGCTGAATTTCACTTTTTTTTTTCCAAACAGGTCCGCCTCCTTGGGCTTTTGATTTTTATAAATGGTTGCCCAATCTCAAGTGTGACGAATTGCTCGCTCCGTTTGACGATGCCGTCCGCTACGTTTTCAAACACCTGCTTGCTGCCATGCACAAAGCACGTCTAGAATAAAGAATGTAAGTTTGTCTTCAATTCATTTGAAAAACTTTCATTGAAAAAGAAACAGTAATCTGCGTAAGGTTGTAGCGTGTTCTCAAATTGTGAATCTGAAAGTCTTCTCTTTTGAATCATGCATTGACTTTGAAAGCAAACGATTGCATGACGGCCGCTTCCATCCTGCAGCAGCAAACAGCCCGGCCCGGCACTGCACTGCACCGCAAACGCAGGCGCACAGCTGCAGCATGATGAAGCAAGTGGGGGGGTCGGTCAAAGTCTTCATTCGCTTGAGGAATTACGAGCAAACATCACAGCGGCCAGCTCTCGCGCGCGTCTTCAACATGCAATATTGCCCATCGAATGGAACGTGAAAGCGTCCTTACCTAAGCCGCCGGCGTCCGCTTAACTCGCCGTCTTCGTCGCGGTCGCTGGCGAGTGCCCCCGCCTTTCCCTTCCGACGTCATTTGTCTGACGCGTTGACGTCATGACGTACAGGACGGGCGGGGGTGGCTCAACCGCTTCGGACAGGTCGAGGTTGGTCCCAAATCAAATGAAGAGATTCCCGCTTTTTGGGCGTGTCTGACTTCAAGCTTCGGGGCCAGGAGTGTAGTGATGGGAATTCCGGCTCTTTTTAGAGAGCCGGTTCTTTTGGCTCGGCTCACT